GCATTGTGAGGTTTGGATGTCCTTACCGCGAAACAGGAACCCCTGTCCACCCATGAGAAACATATCCCTCTCGTTCCCGTGCGCCGGATGGTTAGTACGAATCATGGCTACGCCCGCATCGCCAGACCCGGCGGAACCGGAGCCAACGATGGGCATCTCCTGGTTGTCATGCATGTTCTGTCCTACACCGGGGAGGTCCTTGATGACTGTGATGTTGAACTGCCGCAGGTGCTCGGCGGGACCGACACCGGACAACATGAGCAGTTGCGGCGAGTTGAACGTCCCGCCTGAGATGATAACCTCGCGCTTGGCGGTGACAGTTTTCTTGACGCCTGTCGAGCCCGGCACACGTCGGTTGTCGGCCGAGTAGAGGGATTTCCCCTCGAGGTACTCTACTCCCGTGGCGCGGGGAGTTGCCGAGCCGCATTTGGAGCTGGTGTCGAAGAGAATCTTCGTCGCCAGAGATGTCAAGGAGACAGTCAGCGGCACACTGGCGTTCTTCTGCGCGGCCTGGATATAGTCGCGCGAGCTGTACCGGTTGCCGTTGGTGAATTGGTGCTGGACCAGACCATAGACACTGGACGTTGTGTCGCGGTCCGGCGACAGGACGTTAGGGTCTCGCTGCAGGAGATCGGTCATGGGCAATGTCAGGTTGAGATCTGTGGCGTAGGCGGCCATGACTTTGTTCCCCTGGAGGCCGCCGCGCTGAGCTTGCGCTTTAGATCCCATTGTTGTCTGGAAGAAGCCGTCGAAGCCGTGGCCGGCTGCACCGGCGCTGCCTTTTGTGATGTAATTGTTGTGTTCGATCCTAGCGAAGATTTGGCGCATGTTCTCGGCTCTATTTACTTGTGAGCTTCGCCACTTAATGTCCGTTCTGTTCAAGGTAGGATGCTTACTTCCATGACGCGTCTCCGGTTAGTTGATACACATAGTTCCAGTCGCTGTCGCTTGGAAGCCAAGTGCACATTGCATTGATCATTGAACTGTCCTAAGTCAGGGGCTAGACTGAGAAAAAGAATAACAGAAATATCGCTTGGGGCTGACCTTCCACCCAAAGTTGCTCCTCTCGGGTAGTAGACGCCTAGGAGTTTTGACCCAGCTGGGGCTCCCGTCCGTCCTACCCAGTAGCGGCCCTCCGGGGTCTTCCATGTTAGGTGTGAATACTGGTTATTCCTAGGGTCATTCTCTGGGTAGTGGTTGACAAAGAAGTCCCAGGTCACTGTCGGAGTGTACACGCCGAAGCCTTGCCCCGGGCTGGTGTCTCCAGCTTCTATCAAGAACACGGAGTATCCGGCCTTGGCGAGGTTGGCCGCGAGAGGACCGCCGCCGGGACCGCTGCCGACGACTACATAGTCATACTCAGTAGCTTGCGATACAGTTGGGGCGGCAAAGACGGGGTTCGAAGCAAGGAGGGCAAGGGCAAGCACCCTTGCGAGTGCGCCTTTCTTGGTGTTTGGCTTCATCTTGTGAAGCTTGATAAAAGTGTCAGGTGCATCGAACCATCTCCTATCTGGGCGGCTGAGACTTATGTAGATTCCACGAGCTCATCTTTGGCTACCCACACAAACTTGATCAAGCCGTCAGTTCTTAAATAGAGTACGTGCATCGTTGCAAGTCCACGCCCTTACCACAGACAGTACAACTTCGTAGATTAGCTCTCCCGCGCGACGACAGCTGCTCGCCACGCGTCTGCCAAGGACTCCAGACAAGGTGTTAACATATCGATATGAACCTGGTCTGCGGATGTTACCACCGAGCGGTGGGAGCTTCTCCCGCGCTCGCCAAAATAGGTTCATCTTGGGAGATCTACCACTATATCATACCAGCGAACGTAACTGTTTCCGAGACAATGCAACCATCTCCGCGCATAGACAGGCGCGCTCGCTTGAGTGCCCAGCCGGATATAGACTTGGCTGCTCTATTCTCCATGTGGTGGCGTTCGGCATATGAGGCTCGTGCCTGAAGGTCTAGATGCCAGCGGGTAAATCTCCTGGGACCGGTGGGCAACTGCTCTCCCCGGTTCTTGGCATTAACTGATCTCCGCTAACCTTAAATCTGCCATGTCGAGATTGCTGCCTGAGATGCCATGTCATTTATCCGTGGCTGACACCGATTTAAGCACCAGGAAGTGCGAAATCATCGAGACCGGATTTATGGAGAGCACTTGTCGTACTCTATCAGAGACCTACGGTGAATCTCGACAAGCTTGAAACATCCCACTGGGCAACACAGCGCTACAGCCAGGAACAAGCGTACCGTCCAACGATGCCAAGGAGGATCGTGAGCCGGTCGAGATGAATACGGGGTCGGGTGTTAATCAACCAATCATTTGACACGAATGTCGGTTGTGGGATCTGGGAAAAGTCTTGGAACAGACAATACGACGTCAACAGCTGCGCCTCGCTCCATTTCCTGGACTCACGATACCCTCGAGTCACCCATCGATTTAAATCTCGCCGCCTCGTACTGGACAATGACGGGCACTTGAACGTCTTCGGCCTGCTTTTGTGGCTCACGTCACTAAGGAAACGCGATGGCGGACACTCCAGCTGCAGTGCATCTCCATCCAAGAGAAAGGGGCGCCATGGACGGCACCATGCCCTTCCGGATATTCTACATCGCATTCAGAGCCGTGACACTGGTCTTGGAGGTTGCGACGCTCGGGTATCTGATATGGATGTCGGCGAAGTATAGTAATCGGACTGGACATTATGCATGCGGTATTGTAGCGGTACGCCAGCTCGGTTCGGCAGAGCAAGAAGCAAGCTCAAGTCCATCGACTTGGAAACATACTGACCAGAGACACAGATTGTCCTAGCCGTGATGCTTGACGGCCTTACGATTGGTGTCCTGGTTTATAAGACGGATCTGAGTGGAAGCTCTGGCGCGTGTTTCAACTGTTGCGATGTCATCGTTCTCATCGTCAGCATCGTCGGTTGGCTCTTGATCTTGCTAGCCGACTTCAATTGGGAGAGGTCGCCAGACCGGATGCCGTGGAATGACTACGAGGACATAGGCGCCTTCATGGTGATGGGAGTATGGTATGGCCCCCCCGAAGACGCGTGTTGCTCATTGGAACTGCCCTCTGCAAACGAGTGATGCCATTCCTGAGAGCTAACGGTGATGTCTTCTCGTCTAGGATTGCCCATTTTGCGCTGTCAGTTCTTAACTGTATTGGATGCTGCGTGGCGTGCGGCAGAGCAAGAAGAGCAAAAAGACGAACTCAGCGCATCGTTTACTTGGTTCCGGTCATGGAGCCACCAGCAACGAACCCGTAGGGTGGTCGGGATGGGGTATAGTCGCTGAAACCGAACTTCCCATCCGCTCTGCGGCCATTGCGTGGTCCTGGAACATGGAAGCAGTGGGATGGACAACTCATGTCTACAGCAGCAGAGAAAAGAGCCGAAATGCTCCAACTGAGCCACTTCATTGGCATACAGCGGTTTTGGAGGGCTAACATCGAGGCCTAGGCCGCAAAGTAATGATAATCACAGTGACAACAATTTCAGGCGTATAGAAAGATGTATCCGGCGAGTCTCGAGCTGAATAATAGGTTTCCGTGTTTCTCAGTCGCTAAGAAGCGCTGATATCCCTTTGTTGTGCACTGGCAGGGCTTGAACTTGGTTGTGCGTTTTAGGCGGCGATGGCTCAAGGTTACCCCACTAGAGTCGGTGCTAAAATTGGACACAGCACTGCCACACGCGCCAAACACAGCCTACCGAACCTCACCGCGCTTGACCATCAACAATGTCTTCTCCATGGCGTTTAATCATCGAATTTGACGCCCAGAAAAGCGCTTGTCCGGCCCATCAACATCCGGAGGCTGAAGCTGCTATGTTAGCCCTTTAGAGCCTTGTTTGTTGGTGATTCCTAAGATGTTGCGGTGTCAACTCTCCACCAAGTGCAGAATGTCCCTGAGTTGGCTTACCTTGCTGACCGTCAGCGATCAGGCTGAGCCTGGAACTTCAGACATCCGGACCCAACTGCCACCATGTGAAAGAGAGGAAACAATATCGCCGTGATTGAAGTCAGTTACGGCATGGATATATATCGTGACAATGATACCCGCCAAATGTTGCTTTCTGAATCATCATCGTCATCCCACCAAACAAGCTCCCTAACATCAGCAATACCCTGCCTCTAACACCTTTCACACGAATCATCTATTCCATTGTATTCCAGAACATCATTTTACTCCTTTCACCATGTTCCTCCAGTCTCTAGTCATTGCGGCGGCAGCTCTCTCCGCCGTATCTGCCCTACCAGCTCCGGCAAACCATATCACCACTTCCTACGGCTTGCCAGAGGCGACCGCTGTCAACCAAGCGAAGGTGGCAGCCTCAGGCTCAGCGACCACCGCGCCCTCCTCAACCTATACCTCTGCACCATCTAAAACTGTCAGTCTCACCGGCGTCACCCACACCGTGGCTGTCGGCCGCGGCGGTCTCAAGTTCGACCCGGACAACGTGGTAGCCGAGATCGGCGACGTTGTCGAGTGGCACTACCTGCCGGCAAACCACTCGGTCGTCCAGTCGTCCTTCGACAAGCCATGCCATCCTCTCAACGACCATGCCTTCAACTCCAACTTCTTCCCAACCAAGGAGGGCCAGAACCCAGAGGTGTTCCAGATCGTCGTCAAGGACAAGACTCCCATCTGGTACTACTGTGCCCAGACCAAGGGCAACCACTGCCAGAGCGGTATGGTGGGCGTCGTCAACCAGAAGTTCGACACGCCATTCACGCTGGCGGCGCATCGGGAGCTCGCTGCGAAGACGAATGTGTCGACGACGCTGCCCTACGTTCAGGGCGGATATCGTATTCCCAACCCTAACCCCCTGAGTGGCCTCTGAGATGAGTGCCGCTTAGTGGAGTCATGCATGACTTACTTCATTGCTTTTTTACTGCATAGCGACGGATATTTTCTGCACAGCGACGGATAGACTTTGGAGTTTCATTCAGCATTTATAGATGGGGAAAGGGTTAAAAAAACAAAAAGGAACTGGAGGCACGGGAATTCGAATCCCGGACCTTCTCTAGTTGCATCTGGATGCCAGTGCGAAAGAGAAATCATACCCCTAGACCATGCCCCCAGATTTAGGCGGTGTGCTCACCTGTGATGGAAAGTACAACCTGTGATGCGGAGTGCACCTCTTAGTGCACCTTATGAATCAGAACGCTTGTGGACCTTAGTATTAGGACGCCGTATCATTCTGTTTTACATAGTTTAACTGTTACTATATACACGTGTAGGTAGTGTGTCCACAGACCACTTATAGAAATTGTTACCAATTTCACTGTTTTAAACTGCGACCTATCTCAGTGGTTCCCTAGAGTCTCGGTCAAAGCAGTTGCCTTCCTTGCCTTAGTCAGCTACAGCTTCGTTGTCACCAGGATTCCAGCTCAATCTCGAGTCTTCTCCCAGTCATCGAAACAAACACAGCCAGTGCCCAACGAAGATCGTCTTGCCGACAGCAATTTCCTCACCTCTCTGCTTCCCGAGTCTTTCACGGGCCGATGGCATGAGCAAACAGGATTTGCCCGCTCGGGCCGTTGAAGTGCCAATATGCTTGTGGCGATGTGCTGGACACGATAAAGAATCTCAGCCACATCATTCCAGCCCTCACCTCTTTGTAGCCAACCGAGAGCTCAGAATCCAACATTCGCTCGTACCAGCTTCAAGTTGGCTACATCAATGCACGCCAAATGCAAACCTGTCCCTCCCTCCCTTTAACGCTATGATCGCGATACGGTACGCAAGTCGGTGATATCCCTTGAACACACCAAACTATGATCGTCGAGTCCCCTAGCAGCTGACCTTGCTTGCTCGTACTCCCAAGCTTGTAGCAGTTTGCTCAATAGCCTGATGTAAGGGCAACCTTGGTCGAGTTTCTTGGAAGCACAATAGCTGCATATGTTGTCGCACAACTCTGTCGCAGCCGTCCAATTGTCATTGTTTCGTCAGCCCAGACGCAATCTGCCAACGCAAGCAGCCGTTTCGGAGCCGCTCTTCGCGCAGAGACTATCGTCAACGAGTGCTAGCACCAATGGACCACGGCATCAGGCACCGAGCAGGATTGGCAAGGACTACTGCATACATCTATTTTCGACTTTCCTAGCACCGTCTTATCGTCCAAAGCCGCGCACTCGGGCCAGTGGACCCGATTCCGTCGAGGCTCATTGCATCTCAGCACCGCATGTGCCGTGCTTGCACACCGCTAGAGTGTTCACGGCTTCACTTCCAGACAAGGCCGTCGTGACACCACGAACTGGCGTATCCTTCGCGGGGCTAGCTTCGGACCAACTGCATTTGGATCGAGTTTTACTTCAAAGCCTCGGGGGTTCTGGCATATGCCGTTGCAGCGTGGTGACGGCTGCACAACTATGTTTGTTGCACTTGATGGATGGTGCTCGAAGATCGCTATCTTGAGGAAGCGCGAGGACAAATTCGCAGATCTCAAACATACCTGTGGCTACGCTGCAGGTGTCTCACGCTCTGGGCAACTCTTGGTCCAGCTTCAACACCTCCCGTGCCATTCTGGTCAGATACTGATCAAGGTCTGAGATGCTGTGAACCATCCCACCCGCACCCTGATCCAATCACCATCGCAAGTTCGCCGTGCTCACGTCGCACCGTGATGATGGCCCGAAATCCCCGGCCAAGGTCCTCGAAGGAAACCTGCCACATCATGAGACTTTTGGAGGGTCGTGTTAGTTGCAGCCCGTCGTCGCACTCTATCGACCGTATGCTGTTGGTAGCCGAGCCCCCTGTCGAGCGTTGGTTGCCAGAATCGTCAGTCGGATACTGTCTTTCGCGGTGCCAGTGCGACCTTGATATCGCCTCAACAAGCAAGCTTGGAATTGCTGGTCTTTTCCCCCTGCATCCCAATAGTTCTATGCATGTCACCCACGACGACATTCAGCCCCCTTTCCAGACCGGATTCCCGAACATCTCGAGGTCTGCTTCCTCGGGGGGCTAGTGGTCCTTTGTCTACCCCTTCCATCTTGCTGCGTTGTAGCTGCCGTTAGAGGTCCCATGTTGGCCGGTGTCCCTTGCCAGACTAGTGTCGGTCCTTCCACATCATTCGGCCACCATCATCCTGGAAACAACAGCGTCCAACAGCGATACTTCTAGTTTCCTGTCTCGCATGGCCACTTACCCCAACCTAAGGACTCAATTTGCTTGTGCCTTGCCAGGATCAAAGTACACACCCGATCTTTAATCAGGTACGATCGGACAGACCCAGTCGGCAGTCTGGGAAGGCCAAAACATCGACTCCAGGTCTGTCTTAAAGCCTGCGAGACCTGGGACCCCGAGTGATCATGATCCGGCAACCGTTAGCCAGCCGCGAGTGTAGAGAACTACAAGCCAGATACCTCGAACCTAGAGTGCTTCCCCTTCAGTAATCTAGTGGTTGTCTGTATAGTCTAGGCATCTTATGTATATGACTCAGCAACTACACCCCTTCAGTGCTAGTCGACCCCAAGTATCTCCCATCTCTTTCACAACGTTCTTGAAGCGCGTTGGAGTTGGAGGAACGCCACCACGAGGCACAAGCCACCACCACACCTCAACCATCCGGCCCCGTGGTCTTTGTCTAAGTTTGGCCCTCCACCTCGACCGCCCAATCCCATCGTCAACCCCACGCCATCCTAAAAGCCCATCCGCATCTACACCATTGGCCTAGGGCGTTTTGACAGAGCCCGTCATCATTTCGCACCCCTCTTATTTCAGCTTCCCCCCCTCCTCTTCCGTTCGCTCGGTCGAACATGGACGACAATGTTCCCGACCTTCCCTACGGTACCGCTGCCTCCTCCACCAACAACGACTTCATGAACCTCACGGTCGACCAGCGCAAAGCCCTCCAGACTGTCGAGAGGATCGGGGCCTCTTTGAGCCTTGTCGGGGTCTGCCTGATATTCGTTACCTTTGCGGCCTTCAAGCGTCTCCGGACCGTGCCCAACACCTTCATCCTGTTCGCCTCCATCGCCAACGTGGGCGCCAGCACAGCATGTCTCATCGGATATGATGGTCTGAATGCCGGATATGAGTCTGCACTCTGTCAGGTCCAAGGGTTCCTTCTGGAAATGTATGTGAGCCTTCTGGTGTCTCGTGAAGCGATTCTCTACCTCCTTCTGGCAACATATCCTCGCCATCGGTATAGGATTTAAGTGTTGGCTAATTATCTGTACACTTTGCAGGTTTATGCAGTCAGATCCCTGGTGGTCCCTTGCCATGGCTGTCAATGTCTTCATGGTATTCTTTCTTGCTGCCAACCCAACCTCTTTCCGACAGTATCTCTGGGTCTACTGTCTCGTCTGTTATGGGGCTCCGGCACTCCCAGCGATCGTCTTGCTCTTGATCCGAGGCGATCCCCGGGGACCGGTATACGGCAACGCGACAGTAAGTCTTTGTGTCCCAAAAGAGGGGATTGCAACATATTCCCTGCAGTGTCTCTCGTGCGTCCGTCCGCGTTCTGACAACGGAGCTCAAAAGCTGTGGTGCTGGATAAGTGACAGCTGGAGCTCGCTGCGCATATTCACCTACTACCTCCCGATCTGGATATGCATCCTGCTGTCCACCGTCATCTACGTTGCGGTGGGCTACCAGGTGTTCCACCAGCGCAACCAGCTGCGTAACTTGACGCTCAGCAACCCTGCTAAGGACACGTCAAGTTCTGACGTCAGGGAGTCAGGTGAGAGGGTAAGTTGGGCATCTCCTCATGTATGTCCGAGTGTCCCGTCTTCTGTCTACACAACAAACGCTCCTGCCGAGGGCGGGGGCCCAGTCCAGCTTGCACTGGAAACGTTCCACATATCCTTTCACACACTCACCGATGCTCCTGTCTCACTGTGTCACTGTCTTCTTGACTCGCGGCCCATATCTAACCATCACCATTCCCCTCGTCCCAGACGACCTACAATGGCCAACCAGGTTGCTACGGGATGGTGACTACCGAAGTTCGCGTCACTGCCGAGGCATCGACCTCAGAGTACCACGTCACCCCGCCGACAACGCCAACACCGTCCATCGCACCGGTCCTCCCGTGCAAGCCAGCGACGCACCACATCCACCACCCCTGGGCATCCCCCTCGGTCGACCACCACATCAACTTCGACTCCGACTCCGACTCCGACCTCGAGGACAGCACCCACCCCTCCCGCGCCCACCCACAGCGCGCCCGACAGGACACCACCGCCGCCTCCCAACCCGACCTCGTCGCCCCCTACACCACCATCTCCTCCATCTCCACAGCCCACATCTCCCCAACCTCCACCCGACCCCGGGGCATCGGCAGCGGCAGCAGCAGCAACAACAACCCGGCCTCCCCACCACGCCCCTCCTCCTGGCCCGCCCGCCTCCGGTCGGGGACGCGGCACTTCGCCGCCCGGCTCCGCAACCTCGACCCGGTCAAGCTGGCCTACCTGCGCACCTCGTTCGTCTTCGCCATCTCGATCCTCATCACCTGGACCCCCAGCAGCATCAACCGGGTCTACACCCTGGCGCACCCGCAGCGCTTCAGCTTCGGCCTCAACATGGCCAGCGCCGTCGTCCTCCCGCTCCAGGGCGTGTGGAACGCCGTCATCTACTGCGCCACCAGCTGGCACGTGCTGGTCGACGAGGTGGTGGACCTCAGGTGTCGGGTCTGGGGGCGCCACCGGCAGGAGGGGGCAAGGAGGGGTAGGCGGTCCGAGGCCGTCATGAGTGTTGCGTTTGATGGGTTTCATGGCGGGATGAGGGGGAGAAGGGCGAGGGAACGCGGGTTCGAGTTGAGTCCTACTACGCTGAGGCCTAGTACCATGAGGGTTGTTCGGGGGAGTTTTTGAAATGAGGCAATTGTCCTCGTTTCTCTGAGTTTTGTTCTTTTTGAGGGTGGGGGGCTGGATGGCGTTGGATATATAAAGATTTGGGTATTTACGGCAACGATTTATGCTCTTGGTAGGGGTCTTACGACGCCAGGGGCTCTTTGTTTATTTCAATTCTATGATACCATCATGCTGGGATAGGGTAGGTGTACCTTGTCTGGTAGCGGGCGTTAGAGTTCGACTGTTATCAGATGATTTCACAAGATACGGCTCAAGTCACTGCGCT